TGTTCTAACGGTATTTTCTGCTGTCAATTATCACGTCGGTGTCTCTATGCACCCAAAGTCTGATGCACTTTCACACAGTCCAAGCAGAAAGTAATTGTTGCAAGCAAGACCCAAGCATCATTTCTCTGGGACCAGTACAAACTTGTAACATGCCACCAACAATCCCATTTCATATAAACTCATAAAGCTGTGAAAGAAAAAAGATGTACCGTATTTCACTTCTGAAATGACACAGATAGATCATATCATGGCAATGGGCTTGCAGCTCAGGACAGGATGAGCTATCCGGTAATGTGTACCCATTTCCCTATGGGCAGTAGTTGTGAAATTACAAGAGTTGTGCTGAGGCTTTCTGCAAACATTCAGGAAAGCTACTTGTATACAATTTTAATCCTGGAGTAACACTCTCTCTCCTCCCTACCCACATCCTGGCATAAGAAGAGGCCTGACACCAAATTAGATCATTGAGCAATCTAGGTTAGGGCTTGACAAATCCCAGGTGCCAAGTCACCATGGTACCTAGAAATTTCATAGTGTCACCTACTATTTTCAGAAATGATTGTATTGTAGTGTCTCTCAGCAGTTCTTATTTGAAGAACAAACTGTTGGATCCAAACAGTTTTTGTTCTGGCAAATAGGTGTGGAAGGGGTCCCCTTTGATCACTCAGGAGATTATGTTTTGGGTCATGCGATCTGCATATACAAAAGCCATGTGAAACAGGGTATGTAACAGGGAGCGAAATTGGGCAAGAGTGAGCAAAAAAGATGCATGGATACAACTCAAAACTTATTTATCATGTTCCATGAGAATACTTTGTTGCATAACTTAAAAATGAATGTGCACGAAGTTATTGTCATTACTTGTTTATATGCAAACCCAACTTTACACCATTCAGTAGTGGTGGATGAATCCATTTCTTATACAGTTTCTTTCTATATACCAGTATAACACAATGACCTCTCCTCGGCTGTTGCCGTGACCGAGCTGTGGCGTCACTGCCTATATATATATATATATATTTATTTGTACTGGATTCAGTTTATTTTACTGTGATGTGACTGATCAGTTCTGTTTTCTGATGGCTGACCAGTTCACACTTAAAAGTAGTCTCTTTGGGGTTTGTATATATATATAACTTCAGGATGTATTGAGGACAACTGCCCAGTATAATTCTTTTCCCAAGAGTCAGGCACCAGTGCTTGTAAAAGTCAAACAGCACAGTTCTTTATTTCACAAAAAAACTCAACAGGGCACACAGGATACTTTGATACTTTGTAGAATAAACATTTAGCTTTGTCTTTACGTAGGCTGTATGCTTATCACTCTCAGTTTGACTCAGATGTTCTTTAGCTCACAGCACCCATCTATGATCCCACTCTCCAGTAACTGTTTTGTGGTTAACCTTTGGGCTTTATTTGCCTGGTCTCTTAAGTCTTACTGGTGTGACTACCCCAGCTCTCCTGACTCCTCCAGACCCTTAGGCCTTCCTTAGCCACCTTTATCAGTTCCTTTGGAGCAGTGTCTCTTGTGTTTGTGACCACTGAGGTTTTATACTCTGCAGTCTCTGTTCACTCTCCTCTTTACATTAGAGGGTACCAGTGCAGAGTGCTATTCAGCCACAGGTTTCCACACAAACTACTATCCGGCTGATTCCACTGAGCCCAGAGGCTTATGTCCTCTTCAAAGCTCTCCAGTTAGCTGAAAGCTGAGAATATTAATCCAGCTCCTAAATTTGGAGGGCTGGCTGACTCTGATGGCCAAAGAAACTGTCTGTTCTGACTGGCACCATTTTTCTAGTGCGTCAAGCTGAGAAAGGCCCTTCCCAAATTCTGGGACCTGAGACCCCCTTTACTGGAAATGCCGGGGATTGAAACTGTGAATCGCAAGCAAAGGATATGGTCTATCACTGAGCAGTAATTACTTATGCACAGGAAGATCACATCCACTCAGCCATGCAGAGCTGCTCCTTGTTCTGCCTCTTACAGTACAGGCAGCTACATTTTGGTGGACAAAAGCACAATGGAAAGGAGGAGATTAGGCTCTAGTCAATGTACATAGAAATAAATCATTTCTTGGAATAGAGATACTGCTGCAGGAGAAAGTGAATCAAACAGCAGCTCCCAAACGATATTCATATACTGGAGCTGGCTGCCTCTCTTGACCATCGCTCTAAAGCCAGCCTAGCACCTGAAAAAACTAATGTCCAATTTGTCTAGTAGATGCAACTACTCTGCAGAGTCAACTGGAGTGCTCTGAATATTGATGTTCACTTACCCTGCCAGATGCCCACCTTGTACTGCTGGGGGGATAGGAAAACAAGCAATCATTCATCCACAAAAGATGGCAGCTAGCAATGGTTTTTCTTGTGGCTGTTTGGGGAGCTAAGAGAGTTTAACTGCACCTTATTGCTGCTGACTTCACAAGTTGGCAATGGATTTTTTTAACCCAAAAATCACCTATTACTCATGTGCAGGACAGGACAGCCATTTTCAGGGCTCTGTTTCCGTGATCAATAGAGAGCATGCTTGGCGCAGACATTATGCTTCATGATAAACTTGCAATCATTTGTGTGTCTGTGAACATTTATTAATGTATCAAGGGTGGTGCAAGATTTTTTAAAACACGATGCAGATGCAAACATATTTTTTACAAATTGCCAAAATAAACCACAACTATGGTTCTAAGAAATTTCTGCTGTCTTCTCAAGTGTGTTTGGACAGTATGTATGATGCATGTTCTGGCATTTCACAAACCAGAATTCCGGTTTCCTCAGATTCACACCAAAGGGAACAACATCAGTGAAATACTGCTTTCCCAGAAACTGGAGGAGGGGGAGATGTCCACACTGTATTCCAAAGAGGGCAATAAAACTAATTGGTGAATAATGACATTCAAATGTTTTGCTGCTCATAGAGGTAGGCAGAATTATCACACATTGCATGGGTGGCTTCTGGACTGCTGACCTTAATTCCATAAAGCTCATTCCTGTACATACTTACTTGGTAGAATGCAACACTGAATTCAGTAGAGCTTATTTGCATGCAGAAATCCCATCCAGACAGGAGACTTCCTTTGTATCAGTTTGCTATGCTATCTAACTAGGTCTTGAAATCATTTTGAGTTTAGGAAACACACGCCCATTTTCAAATAAGAAAAGCACAAGGGTTTCCAAACCATGGCACATTCTTTCTCACCACATTCTTCACCACTTACAAGAAGGGCTTGACTAGACTTTAATACCTGCAGTAGTACTTCTGTTTCATTATACGGAGTGGATCCCACATAAGGTTTTCCATGGGTGGAAGGATTTCCACCTGAGGGATATGACTCTGTTGCCTTGTTCCTCTTACTGCAGCCCAAGATGCCTCCATAAGGTTTTGCTCCTGGGGTCAGGAGTAGAATTGGGGGGGGGGGTTTGGGGGGCTGCAGAGGGAGAGTGGAGAAGAGGAAGTCATGCTCCATGGGCAGAAATCCCTCCACCTGCAGAAACAGCCCACCGGATCCAAGCCAATGTATGTGAAGCATTTTAATAGTTTTCTGGAAAGGCTTGGAGAAGCCAGAGCTTTAACCTTATCCACTTTCCCAGTAAACTAGAGGGCTAACCAACAGGAAGCGCACAGCATATTCTGTAACATGTCACAATCAACAAGGAAAGCCAGACCTTGTGAACTCCTCCAACCCTATCCACCCTTAATGGTTGCTTTTAGAAGATAGTCTATTCCCTTCTCCATCATTCCAAAGCAAGCAGTAAGGCATTCAAATACATGTGTTTCCTAATTAGGAGAGAACACACACACACAAAGTCTATGCACACTCACCTCTCTATTCACACACAGTTTCATTTTATCCCTGCCCAAGGTACCAGAAATTTCGAAATAATAATAACCTGGCAAGCCTAATTAATACACTGTGAACTGCCTCTCTGAATTTTTCACCAAACTGACAGCAGATGAGGCCAGGGCTCTCCAAACACCTGTTACCCTCTGGGGTAATTGGAATCTTTCTGTGCTAAAACCCATCAGTCAGCCTAGAACTTGCATAAGGCTATCACTCTTTGGAAAGGCTTAGGCCTGTTCCATAGAAAAGCTTGTGGAATGCTTTAAAAAGAAGACAGTGTTTATGAACATTTGCAGAAAGACAAGCTCTGATTTTGACTGCTTTGATTAATCACATGGCACCTGAAACCAGGAGATATGTGGCAAGTTCCATATGAAGAGATCCAATGTGTATTTTTTTAAAAATAAGGAGGCATATGGGATCCCAATTTCAATTGGAACCTTTTTGTTTGATGCAACAGGGCAAAGTTGCAATGCCGCTTCAGGTCCAGAAAACAGCATGGGCCTTAAGTGTTTACATACACCATACACCAGTCCCAATCCAAATCAGGCTCCCACTCTACAGATGGGACTTCCTGGTGCCTCATCTGGTTTAGCCCCGAAACACCTGCTTGACCATTAAGATTCTCTCCTATTGCTCTTGGTTCTCTACATGTATCCCTCTTTTTTCTTTCTTTTTTTAAATGTACATCAGCAGTTATATTAAGAAGAAATAACTCACTACAATGCATGCAAATTCATACAAAACCTGCACGTCCCGTAGTTTTGTTTAGCTAAATTTAGTTCTGCCTAGACTGCCCAGTCCTACGATCGAACCTTCTGTTATACCAAAATTCACCACAACAGAACTTCTTACATTCTCCACTTTCTGTTGCATTTCTGCCCTTACGTAAACCTTTTCAGAGCTGGAGTTCATTTCCTCTATGCATGCCCCCCTTGCCGATATGCAACATTACCAATGCTTTTCAACGTGTTAATGATGTGAATAATATTTCATACAACCTTGATCTTAAACTGGATCTCTGGAGCCACCCACCAGGGTTTTTTTTTTAATTCCCACACCCCTTTGCTATTCTCGGTTATAAAAATTATCACAGAATCAAAACAAAACCTGGAAATCTGTTGCAATGCTTATATTAATACATTAATGGGGAGATACTTACAGGTTGGGGGTGGTTGCTAGAAGATTTCTTACTGGTGACAAATACAAGAGCAGTCAGGTTCAAACAGTATCTGCAGAGATATAGAAGGTCTTTGTACAAATACAGGAGTGCACCAGTTACTCTCAATGTGAGAGGACTTCAGCGCTTCCTACACTGGTCAACATACCAGGTCAAAGGACAAGCCAGGACAGCAAGACTCTGGTCTTTCAAAAAATGAAATTAAAAAGTCTATTTGTTTTCTACTGTTTCGCTATGTATAATTTATTGAACAATCATTCTGTGCATCTAGTCATGTTCTTTCCTATTCATAACGTAAGTCATTGATTTCCAATAAACTTGGGAAGTGGGGGAGGGGGAGTTGTGTTGTTCCCAGTATAAATTACAAGTAAGATTATGCCCACTGATCTTTTACAAAATTCAGTTCAGGGACGTTAAAAATGGAGTATAAATTAAGTTCACAAAAATAAGATGTTTCTTCTTCATTTTTAAAAGTCTAGATAAATTTAGCCCATGTAGAGAGTGGGACTATACAGCGGGGCTCCTGTATGGAACAAGCAGAGGTTCTGCAGGTGGAGCAATGATAGGCAGAAATTCAGCAGAAAAAACTTTGCCTACTGAATTTTGGCTTGTCTGTTAACAGGTACAGGAGCCCTGCCCCGGGTGGGAATATAATATGTAAACAAAGTATACAGCCAAACCCTTTCCCTGTGGCCAGATAGGCCCTTGCTGGTTTCTGAACTCAGTGGAGCGCCATGAAACCACAAACACCCTCCGTTTTGCACCAGAAATCCTACCAAGGCCGACACTGAGTTTTCTGAGCCTGCTCTTCTGCCTTTTGCAGAAACGAAACAAATCGTGCATGCAAGGTGCCGGTAATGACCCAGTAATGGCGGGGCAAGCTTCAGCTGCGGCTGGGGCCACCCTGGCGAGAGGGGTAACCAACCTGCAATTAACCAACTTTAAAAGCCTCCCAGCTTTCTTCCTTATGCAAGAGTCGCGCTGGCGACGAGCACCAGACTCATGTGCGCCAAACGGCAGCCGCTTCCGTCCCCTTAAAATCTCGGAAGGAGAGCAAGACTTTGTTTCTGAGGGGAGGTGGCTTCCTGTTTTCTCTTAAAGGTACAAATCGTTTTCTTTAAACGCTCTTCAAATACCCACTGTGCCCCCAGGGCCTTTGGCCTAACCCCCTAAGTTTACTTTCCAAGTTTTTAGGAACCGAGCTGTATCGGCTCGCGTGTATCTGACACTGACGACGGGAACGTGTGTTGCGTCTGCAAGGCGACAGGCGCTGCGTACGTAAGGTAATAATGAAAAAAGAAGGTCCCCTCTTGTCCCGCGTAATTAAGTCCGCCCCTTTCTGGACGTCTGGAGGCCCGCTAGCGCTTGCTCTGGGCCCTGCAGCCCCCTTTCTAAACGCTAGGAATGGCACAGAAGCGGGAGAAGCGAAGGCTTCCTATTTCTCGGTTGTGGAGACTGCGCCTGGCGCGCAGGCTTCGGAGGGTTCTGGATGAGGCTGCTTTCAGTCTCTCCGCCCCTCGCCAAAAGAGACCTCCCCAGGAGAAGGTCGAGAGCGCGCCCTTTCCCTCGCCGGGTCGTCTGCCTTCTCGACTTAACGTGAAGAGGTCTGGCTGGCTGGCATTTGGGACGGCGCCTGGAATAACTGCTTGTCTCCCCCGTGCAAATAGCGCAAAGGGGAACGTTCAGCGCCGGTGGCCTTTGGAGAGCCTCCTGAGGTCCAGCCCGGCGGCGAGGAGCAAAGAAAAGGGCTGTTCGGAGAGCAGAAATGAAGCCTGCGGGGTGTTAAACCTCAACTGTACCGGGGAATTCCTCCTCTCGACTCGGAGTGTCCGGACTCAGTGGCACTTGCTTCCAAGAGGGGTTGACATAATGTCTTTTTAAAATCCCATCATATAGTTGAAGGATTGCCAACTCCAGGTTGGGAAATGTAGGGAGATTTGGGAGGTGGAGCCTGGGGAAGGCAGGGTTTGGGGAGAAGACGGAGCTCAGCAAGCTGTCAAGCTGTACAGTTTACCCTAAAGTAGCTATTCGCTCCAGGGGAGCTGATCACTGTAATCTGGAGATCAGTTGCCATTCTAAATAAGCGATGGGAGTGGAGGTAGATTGAGCAGCCTCTGAATCTAGGTCGGAACTAGGGTTGCCAGGTTCCCCCTGGCCAGGGGGGGGGGATGGGTGGCATGGGGTTGCCAGATCCAGGTTGTGAAACTCCTGGAGATTTGGGGGTGGAGCCTGGGGAGGACAGGGACCTCAGTGGGATACAATGCCATAGAGTAGTCCACCCTCCAGAACATCCATTTTCTCCAGGGGAACTGATCTCTTTAGTCTGGAGATGTGCTGTAATTTCAGGGGATCCCCCAGGTTCCACCTGGAGGCTGGCATCTCTAGTTGGAAGCGGGGGGAAACGTCATCTAAATTTCCCAGTGAAAGGTGATTTCCTACAATAGGGTCCAATATGCGCCACACCTTACAGCCACTGTTGCTGCATTAAGATACCAATTCTGTTTTGCCTTTCAAATTGCTCTTTGTTTTTTTGATGGGGGGGGGGGAAGGGAACGGATAATACAGATCTATAAAACAAAGGTTTGAGTTCAGAGCTCTAGGGGCCTTTTCCACCCTGTTCTCCTCCTTTTGCAGGAAAACTTGTAAAATAAAACTTAATTTTTCAAAGACAGTCGTAAGTCCTAAAGGAAACCAAGCCCAGGTAGTGTTGCATCTGGAACTCCCTATTGCTTAGGGAAGTGGGGAGGTTGTAACATTACTCTCCCTCCCAAAACTGTGGTCCCCAGCTTGGCTGGCAAAATGCTTTGCTGCATAAACAACTAAGAAGAAACACAAACAAATATATTTGTCCAAATACGAAGAAAGGAATGATAAAAATACATACCTTGCAATGGCTCTCCTGAAGTTCTCAATGCAGTCCAAATGACTAAATTCTGAATTTGCTGTCTCAAGAAAAAGTCAAGGACTATGGCCCCTCCTCCAACAATGCGTACTGTATGCCAGCAGTTTAGCAGCTACTGGGGTGACTGTACTTGTTCAGCTATGTGCACTGTTAAGATGCTGAAACGTTCCGGATCATGAGAAAAGCAGCAGTTCTGAAATTACATTTTCATTTTGAACTCAAATCATGTTTAATACTACCTCAACATCTTGCCTAGTGCTCTAAGAGCTAGCATGGTGTAGTGGTTAAGAGAGACAGACTCTAACCTGGAGAACCAGGTTTGATTCCCGACTTGTCCACATGAAGCCTGCTCCGTGGCCTTGGGCCAGTCATAGTTCTCTCTTAGCCCCACATACCTTGCAAGGAGATTGTTGTGGGGAGAGGAAAGGAAGGCGATTGTAGGCCACTTTGAGACTCCTTAGGATAGAGAAAAGTGGGCAATAAAAACCAACTTTTCTTCTAATGCACATATAAAACACATCCCAAGGGCTGTCTAAAAGAATAGCTAAGGGGACCCATCACAACAGGTTGGGGGCTGGGTATCCCTTTCCCCTTATACTTCGAGCACTGTTGAAGTCTTGGCTGCACATGCAACAAAATGATACTGTAGAATTCTGAGATGGCGGTAAAATGGGCTGTACCACCAGACAGAAGGTGAGGGAGGGAGACAATATTTTTAATATTTTATTTATTTATTTATTTATTTATTTAGATTTATATCCCGCCTCATCCAATATTCAGCTTGGGGCGGCTCACAGACGGCCATGCCGAAGTTAAAAATATACATACAAACAACACATAATAAAACACTGTATCTTAACATAAAATTTGGTGCAAGATAGGCGACGTCCCACACTGGCGGCCAAGTTCTTCACAGCGGAAGCGCCAGGAAGAATGTTCCCCCAGCTCTATTGGGCGGCATCTACCCCTACATATGGGGTAGATGGTTGGAATATCATTGGTGACATAGTGGCGGCGGCGACTCCCCCTCAAAGGCCTGGCGGAAGAGCTCCGTCTTGCAGGCCCTGCGAACTGCGCTAGGTCCCTCAGGGCCCGGATCTCCTCCGGGAGCTCATTCCACCAGGTGGGAGCCGCCACCGAAAACGCCCTAGCCCTGGTTTGGGCCAACTTCACTTCCCAGGGGCCTGGAACTCCAGGCGATAGAAGTTCCCCGATCGCAGTGCTCTTGGGGGAATGTACGGGGAGAGGCGGTCACTTAGGTAGGCCGGACCTATATTTGCTGTGCATCAACTCCTTACAAGTAATTAGCAAATCAGGGAGAAAGATTCTGGCCATGTCTCTGCTACTCTCCCACTTACAAGGAATTATGAATGTCAGGCAACACTGAAAAATAAAAAACTCATTATCTGCAGGTCTGAACTGGTACAGCCCGTTCTACCACCTCACCGCTCTGCCATCTTGTCAGGGCCGGCTCACCCACTAGGCGAACTAGGCATTCGCCTAGAGTGCCGGGCCCTGGATGGGGCGCCAAGCTGTGCCTCCCCCCTCCCCCCCTTTGGTGGCGGCGGCAGTGGCGGGGAGGCAGTGGCGGCAGCAGCAGCAAAAGGGTGGCTGGCTGCAGAAGGCTCCAGGTCTCCAGGCCCCACCAGGAGGTTGGCATCTGCGCCATAAGGCAGCCTCGCCTAGGGCGCAGAAACACCTCGAGCCGGCCCTGCATCTTGTTGCCAGTTTATTCTACTACATGTGTAGACCAGGCCTCACTCAGGTTGTTCACTGCATGTGGTCTCATGATTCTGAAACAAGCCGCCTCATATGATCATGACATGGTACTGCATCAATATCCAAAGAACCATGGAATTGCCAAGTATAAGAAAGAACAGCACAACTGTGTGGTATAGATTGTTCTTGGCAGCTGGCTCACATCTGTGCAACCTATTCCCCCAAACCCATCACAGTGATATCTGAACATCTGGTGATTCTCCCTCATCCCTCCCTTGCTGCCTAAAACCCAGAAAACATCAACATATCTGAAGCTATCTTGTATGTCTTAAATTCCTCTTCCTTCCTGTCTCTGTGGAGGTTTTAATATTTAATTGATGGTAAGTGAAATCAACCATGTGAAGCATTTGAACAGAAAGAAAGAAGCAACCCCCACCCCAAATTACAGCTGTAGGACAAAAAAGAATTTACAGATGTGTTGGAAAACAATAACTCATTTATGCATTCTTTATTATGACTTCTAAGAGAGAATCTCACATAGGAGCAAGGCTGGAATGGATCTCATCTGCCATCCAGGGCCATCAAAATTGATTATGTGAAGGGATGTCTCGTGTGAACTGTGAATCTAAAAGCTTCCCCTTGGGGAAAGGGGAGGGAGCGATTTTGAATAGGAGAAAAATGTGTGAAATAAGAGCTTGCACCAAGAATGTCCTGGCAGAATGGGGCAGCAAGGAAGATCCTGCTGACTTGCTAGCGGTGGGTGAATTCCATTTAGTCTGACTTTTTTCCCCTCCTTTCCTGTAGGTATTTAGCCTCAGTGGGGCTAAATGCATCTCAACTCTTGGCCCAGGCTCACAGCCTGAGACCTGCTATACTTAGTTTCATGGACCCCAAACAGCCCAGATTTATTTATGTTTTCTTTGTTTTTGCAAATTGGATGTTTTTTGGTTGTGTGTAAGCCACTTTGGCCTAAAAATATGTCAGACTCTGCCTCCTGGGGGTTAGAGCTCAGGATGGGACCGCCCTCCTGCCTTCTCCTTTCTTTGACACACCCCATACCTGCCCCAGCAAAGGGCAGGAGGGGGGGGTTATAATACCCTTTGCCCTCTCTTCTCAACCTTTGGTCCACCCTCTAATTGCTTAGGTGTGGCAGGGCTTGTCCTCCCAAGCTGCCTTGGGTTGTGCCTTCCTGGAGGTGGAGCCACCCCAGGTGTTGCCAATGCTGTCCAGTTAGGGGTGGGGCCTGGCTCACTCCCAGTTTCTGACTGAGCCAATTGGCCCTGCCCAATCTGAGGCTTCAAAACAACCTCCTGCTGGCTGGTGCGGCCTCCAGGAAGTCACCATCCTGTGCCTGCCCCGTGGTTCCTGTCCCTGGCCTGCTCCTGCCTCCTTGACTTGTGATGGCTGGGTCAGGCCG